TGTTTTGTACCTACATTAAACACTCAGTACAAGGTTTTCTTTTGTTAAACCAGTTGTCACTTTAATGTGATAGAATTGGCTGAGCAGTAACAGGTGACAGCTCTAGTCATCTATGCTCTCCAGATGGAACTACCTTGTGTTCTTTCATAAACCATTTACTTGTCACTGAGGACTCTGAGGCAGCTGTTCACTGGAAGATCAATGAAATACTAGTTTCAGAGATTACTAGAGAAATGGAAGAGCTAAATATGATCTTAACTAGTCATTACCTGGGAAGAGAACAATGACTCACATCAATTTCAGAAAGTTAAACAGCCTTTTAGAAACTGTCATGACTCACAAGTACTGCACGCACACACATACACACACAATTTTATTCTCTGTTCAAGGCATTTAGTTCTTCTCTAGAGAAACCAAGCTCTCTCCTCCCTGAACCTGCAACAGCCTTATATTAATGTAATTACCTTGACATTAGACAGCTAATTGATTCAAAGACGTAGATGCTATATATGCATTTCTTGTTGACTGGGTTACATAAATTGTTGACCTATAAACTGCTGTGAAAAAAAATATAATAGAAACGAAGTCTTTTTTTTTTTTTTCTAACAGATTTTGTTTGCTTTGGATTGCAAGTAAAGCAGCTCTCAAAATCAAACTAACTCCAGGCAGGTTTGCTTTGAGGACATAGTTTTCTAAAATAAAAATTTTTTTCAGCAAGTATTCAGGTGAGGGGTTATTTTGGCTTCTGAAGCATTCATTTGAGTCATAATAATTCAGTATTCATTGAAACAATTATCACAAGCAAAGCTGAAGGTAGCCAAGATAGGAGACTCTGTCTGGAAATGGAAGCAAATATGATATTTTATCAGTGCTGGTAATCCAATTCATGTTAATGATCCACCAGTTACTATTGTAACTTACATATATATGTATGCTACCTTTTGAGGGATACTTTGAACATTAAAATAACTGAAAATAAAAAAGCACTTTTGCTAATTTAAACTGCAAAAGGGTTTTCCACTGCAATGATTACAGTATGACCAGAAAACACACATGCATTCAGTGAAGATCATACAGCAGGAAAAGGTAATGCACTGGACAATCTTCTGAGTATTCTTCACATATTTGTTCTGGTCCAGATGGAGAAGCTAATTCATGATAATTAGGGTGTAAATTTCCAAGCACTGCAGCTTAGCTGCCCTAGTTCCCACTAAGGCCACTTTGTCTTGCTAGGAGAAAGTAATCTTGCTTTGAAAGTACAGTAAGTTGTTTTCCTTTTAAACTGAAGTGTCTCCAGCAAGGATAGTGTGAATTAGTGACATGTAAATTCTCACACAAATTATATCACAAATTTAACAAAAGTCGCTAGGAAAATTAATTAAGATGACCTATATTCACAAACAGTGTTACTGAGCTCTTTTTTACCTTGAAGAGGATGGACTAGTGTATCCCAAGAAAGGAGGTAGAATTACTGTAAATGAGCTTAAGTAGCTGAGCAAACAGTTTGATCTGCCTACCAACTAACTACTCACCTGAGCAACTAAGATAGCTGAACATGGCACGACGTGCCCACACTGCAGTGAGCCTGACACAGCAACTGAGAGAAGTTGTCCTCTGATGGTTGTTTACCAGACTGTCTGAAATAAGCAAATTCACTTCTTATCTGAAAAGTATCTGCCTTGCAAAACTCAGAAGAATGAGTTTCCCCTGCTAATCATCTTGGTGCAAGTGAAGAGGAACAAAAACTTAATTACCCTTCTGCTCCAACAAATGGTACCTCCTCACTAAAATCCAGAAACTTCATTGGGGAGCGTCTATGCCTTTACCCATTCCAAAATTATCCTATGTGGATTATTTCATCCTGCAGGGCTGCTAGGCCTAACTTTAAACCAAACACATTACGCTGTTTGCAATTCTTTGATTGTATTTGTCAATATTCTTTGTTATCAGGTTTAGGACTTCATTTTAAGTAAATAAAAATATGCTTTTAACTACAAAACTGCATGAAATCTTCCATTTTCCCCCACTACGCAGGCAGGGTCTTCTTTAAAAAGATAACTTTGATTTTAGAAACTCCAGTTGTAGGAACATTAATTTAACAGTCCTGCAAGGCAAAGATATATTCAGCCTGTTTGAATTCCTAGGTGAGGTGTGAAACAAAAGTGGGGGGAATCTCCAGATAAACTAAGAGAAATTTTCTGACAGCACTCTGGTCCAAGGCTGCACGGACCGTAGTCATATAAACTCATTTTATGCACAGTCTTTTTTATTAACTTAATTAATGTCTTCTGTCTCTGAACATCATATGTGAATTCCAAACCCTGCAATTTTGGGCCTCAAATCTGAGGCATCTGAATTTAGTGTCATGTTATATTGTGAAAGTAGATCACCACACGACTTCATATCTGAATATCTCTCAGATTCACAGGGGCTAACAGCAGACATTCATCCTTCTGTCTATACAACTTCTTGAATGAGATTCTGCTTCAATACGCAAGTTTTATGGTATTGATAGGAAAATGTGCTTTTTCACAATAATAACTAATATTTTACTATCTTTGATACCAAGAAAAATGTTTCTTAAATACTACAGAACATTGTGAGACAGTCTGAGATATGCATGAAATGTCCCTACAGGAAAGCCAGTTTATTCAAGGAGACTGGCATATATTTCCATTTTGCTTTATGTTTTAAAAGTGGCTGTAATCTCAGACTGACTAGATATTTGAGAAATCCTGAAAGATAGAAGACCAGAAAAGATAAAAACTATCTTAAGAAAAGGAAATAGCCTTGGAAAGATCAACATTTTGCATGTTTAATTATTTATTCCATTATTTTTCTGTTAATTTAAATTAAACAAGTAACGAGAGCAAGAATGAAATAGTGAGGACCAATGATTAATCTAGGTAAAACTGTATGAAATGAAACTAAATTCTTTCTATAACAAAGTATCAGGTCTCGGGAAAAGGAATGAGCAATAAAGTCGTATATCCTAACTCTGTGATCTGTTTCCCAGTGCTGTCTGATTTTTGCCACTCTTAATACTGTGTATTTAATTATTTCTACCTAAATGAAGTAGCTCTTGCTTTTCTTTGTTGAGTTGCATATACTTTTCATACTGATTTCTTAACTTGTCATGCTGATTCTCAATTTATATCCTACCCTTTCACAGGCAGTTAAGGGATCCTCTGCAGCTGATGGCTGAATGCTATTTGATAATCCTCTCTACTGTGTTATCCAAAATATTAATGGGAGTTTTGACTAGCGCTAGACCTAAGGTGGAATGCTATGTACAAAATCCTTTCATTTAGACAGTGAACCATGAATAGTAAAAAATAATAGCAAAACCAGCTGCATTTTCCCAACATGATGCAGCAGTACTCAGAAAAATAGTTGCATGTTTTATCACAAATGGAATAAATCTGGAATGAAAGCAGTAAATACTGTACTAGGATATACAAGACAGAATGCAGCACTGAAGATGTGAAGTAGTGACATTTTGGAACACTACATTTGTGAAAACTATGTTCACATGTTTGAGATAATTCAGGAGATATTAGAGATATCAGCCTTGGAGATAAGACAGAAAGAACTGAGCTCATTCTACCTAAAGAAAACTCTGCAGACACACATGAAAACAGTCTTCAGATATGTAAAGTGGTAGTAAGTGTGGAAATATAATATAATATTCTTTGCCCACTACAGATTGGGTAAAATGTAATGGTCTTAAAACACAAAAAAGTGATTTAAATTAGGAATTAGAAAGAGTTTTCTATTGATAAAGACATGAAATTGAGAATATGTTGCTAAACTTGCATGTTCCCAGCATGATACTAATAGCAATGTAAAAATGTCAAGCAAATCATGCTTCCACAACCTACCTTTGAAAATACCATGCACACTGCATCCAAGTCTAAGACTGGATGTTTAGCTAGATTTTGGTTATAAATTACAAACCAGAGACTCATTACCTTACCTAACACACTCTAAATCACAAAACAAATGGAAAGGTTTAGGTTGGAAGGGTCCTTTAAAGATCACCTGGTCCAACCCCCTTGCCATGGGCAGGGACATCCTCCAATCCATCATGTTGCTCAAAGCCCCATCCAACCTGACCCTGAACACTTCCAGGGATGTCCAAGTTGACAAGATTTAAGAGCTATGGAGACAGAAGAAATGCAGATGATTACCTGCAGATGATTAAGGAACCATCCAGATCTGTTATTTAGAGTCCTACACAGTTTTTGACGGGTGACTGTAAAATATGGTTTTGAAATAATTATTTTCACCTGCTATTGTGAGTAGGACAAATGAAGCCAAAAGTTCAAGGGTGTAAACCTTCTATGAAGAAATCAATGGTAATGTGGAGACTATTTACACTAGATATGTATGCAATTCCCATTATGGCAGTATCAGGACTCTTTATAATATTTAATGTACTTCTCTTCACAATAATGCTGTAAGGTCAGTGAATCTGTGAAACTGCACAAAAAATACAAGACTTGTGAACCCCTAGAGAAAATGCTCAGTAAAGCAATCATGAAGAGTAATCTAGTAATGAGGTATCCCCTTGGGGGAAACCACACTTGATTTCTCTGTTTTTTTCAGATCTGCCAATATTACTGAATCCAGATATACTGGACAGACTAGACATGTACAGATCAGCTGAGCATGTGCCACTAGTTCAGCACAGACCAGGACAGGTGCTGTTAGATACTTACCCAAGCTATTAACATGCACATTAATGTGCAGCTACTCTCATCGAGTGTTGGTCACCCAACAACAAGATGTCCTCTTCCTGCTGTCTGAAAAAATGGCAATTGCCTTCCAGAACGTGTTGTTCTGGAAGGCTTAGCAGGTATGTTGTTTACCCATTTTACCCAACAAGTAATTGCATTTAAAGTACATAAATAAGCCTTACTTAGGCGTGCACCTAACAAGCCAAACTTAAAATTCAAATAACTAAATTATTTTATGAATCTGACACTAAACTGACTTACCAAAAGCCACAGAATGAGCAGTCATGTCTCAGACCCAGGTTGTCTTCTTAGTTGCATGACTATCTATTCTGCTTCATTGTCTCTCTCTGTGGTCTGATTTTTCAAAGAAGGATTTTAAATTTAGAAGAATAGAAATCCAAGATCAGGCATGCAGGGCAGGAAAAAATTATGTGGTGATCATCTCAGCAAGGTTTGAATACATTTTTTCATCTTACTGGTCCTTGGCTGTAACAGAAATACACTACTAGTAGCTCCTAATTAATAGATTTCTTACAGTGTCTATCAAACTGCAACGTTACTTTTCTTTGTATGTTATCAAATGAGGATCCAATCCTGAAGTGTGCCTAAAATACAAATAATGCATACATATTATATATACAAATAATAGGTTTTACTTTTCTGAGTGTACCCACAGGTGTTTCATGAGTGTGAACCACTCACATTAAGAAGGCTTTTGAATCAGATCCATCCTCACAGATTACATTTAAACTAATATTCAAAGAACCACGAGATAATATGTTTTGTGTTTCATTTTCATTTTGCAGAGGATTTTTTCTTAATAATTTGAAAGAAAGGAGTTCCAGCTTCTGCAAAAGAACAGAGGCAGAGTTAAGCTACATCACTTATTCTAGATTTGAGAACATTTTGCATGGCCATTGGGAAGATCAGTTCATTAGAAAGTCCAAAATTTGTGATTTGAGCATAAAATCTTTTCACAACACCAATATTAGGATACTTTGGAACTGAAAAGCAAAGCCTTCAGTTCTGTAAACACAAACAGCTGCCTGAATTAAGTATTAGAGAGAGCATCATCCCGGGCATGGGCTCTGGAGCCTACAACACTAAGTAGGGGAGGGAGTGGGATGTCAACCGGCAGGAGAAAGGTCTGCTGCTGGCCCAGATGTATACCTTTGTGGAAATTCGACCTCCATTTTCACCACTGTAGCTCCTGCGAATCAAGCAGGTATCTTGGAAAACATCAGTACTTGAACAAAATTCTGGATGTTAAACCGAGAGTATGCATAATAACTTCAGTTTTATGAGCATGGACCTGGATGCTGTAATTTTAACAGAATTATGCAGATTTGGTGCCCCCTGCTGTCTTTAACTACCAAAGTGGCCCATGAAAAATATAAGTGCTTAAATACACTGAACACCCCCAAAGGGCAAATTAGGGATGCTGCTCAAAAAGGCACATTTAAATTAGAATGTGAGTCCACAGACTACTTTGGTGAAGCATCCAGGAGCTGAGAAAAGCAGAGCTTTTTGTTGGTAATAATCTCAAATGGGAAAAGCATTGAGTGCACCATAGCCAATGGGAACCACAGAGACCTTGGCACTCCTCCATTGCTTGAAAGCAGGACCACAGAAAAGACTCAGTCTCTTGTGGGGATAAAACCACATGAAATCTTTGTGGTCTCTTTTTTCTTGCTCAGCGCTGGGTCTGCTACATTCCTGCCTCTCTACCCCAAAAAGAGAGTTAAAACAGGCTCTACTTTCCTATGATGATAGCATCTAGAGGTCTCAAAAAATATTAGTACCAGTGGTACCCCTAGGTACACAGTGGGTGCATCTACATAAGATTTTGTTATCACGTAAATTGGAAGACGCTCCAGGAGCATACCTAATACAGCAGGCTCCTGCAGGGGACAAGCCCAAAGCTAACCCAAAGCACAACCCCTCCAATGCATACAGCACAGCTCTTGGGGTGGCAGCACAACCTGCTTCTCTCTACTGAGCAAACCCTCCTGGGCCACGCTACATGCTAAAGGAAAGGTACCCACTTAATAAGACTCACCAGCTGAATCTCACTGCCACTGAGGGCGATTCTCTAACCTCTCTGCCCCTCTCTAACCTCTCTGTCCCTCTAGCTGTTTGTTCCCAGTCCATCCACTTCGTTAGCCCCAGCAACCTTCAGGTGGAACAGTGAGCTTGCTTATCTTGCAGACTCAATTAAAAACTAATGTCTGCTTCTTTTTTTTTTCTTTTTCCCTGGGCTGGTTTTCAGTTGGATCAGTTTATTGTATGGTCATGTGGGTGCCTGGTCTGATGTAAGAAGGAGGAGGAATGTCCCTTTGGCAGCAGTACAGTCTCAGATTGGCTTAAGCTAATCATGAAACTTCTGTCCTAAATCAAATAAGGGTGTGAGGTGTCAGTTGGTGCAATGGCTTGTCCAAACTAACAGAGCACATTTCTAGCACAGCTGGGTTGAAATTCTGCTATAATCAATGGCTGATATATTACATCCCTAATTTATTTTCATTTCTCTGTTGGTCTCTCATCCCTTCCTTGTACTCCTCCCAGAATACTACACAATGTAAGTGACGATGAAGCAAAGCTACACTGCCCCATCTGAGCCTCTGCAAAGCAGCAGACAGGACTTTTGGAGGAAGAATGTCTAAGTGATCTTCTAATGCAAATCAACAGTAGGTTAACAACTGATAACTTTCCTTACACTCAAAGACATTTCTTTAAAGGGCCCTTTGTTCAGTAGTCACAAGTAACCAATCAGTCAATTACTTCCTTCCTTGGCTATCTGTGCTTGAAGACGAAAAAAAACCAAACAAAAAATTCCACAGAGAAGAGACAATCCTGTCTTGCTGTGAAAATGGGTGTTCAGTGCCTGTATTCCTGAAACCATGGGTGCTAAAAGAGCGCTGTGCTGTACTTCAAGCAGATGTGTCGCAGAGGATGCTTCATCATTTCATATTCTCCTCATGCTGGAAGGCTTTTAGGACTGACATTGAATCTATGAGTCACTGACACTTCTGGAAAGGCTTTCTGGTGAACAAGATGAAATTTCTGTCATTTGTAGTGTCTGAGAAGGTTTTTCAACTTCAAGAGAAAAGAACTTATTCAGTTTCTCTGACACTTATTTATACATCCAAGTTCTAAATGGCCATTTTCAACTCTTGAACTCCTGTGACTTAGTGAGATGGTATGATCTGTATTACATCTTCTGTAGCAGTATTTAAACAAATATCCTTAATAAAATCTTGCTCACTCCCACCATCTAGAAATCCTGTTTTGTATTTCACACATTTTATTTTTATATCTCAGCATTCAAAACACCAGAAGGCAGGAGTCTGGCCTGATAACTATTAAATTAGTTGCACTCTGATGCAAAATCAACTTGCTTACTACATCCTTTATAGTTGTTATTTTACTCAGTGAACTGGCTGCAGGAGCTGTCTAAAAATTCATTTCTATCTCCTCTAAACGTTGTGTAAGTCAGCAGTCTGTCCTCTATTCACCTCTTTTCAGGGTGAAACACAGCCACACATAGCCATGTCAGGGGTTGTGCAAGAAGAAGATTATGAGGGTGGATCCACTTGTTTTGATCTCCCAACAGAGCACTGTGGCTCTCACTCTGCTAGCAGACTCCTGCAGCCACTTTCTTGCTCTTTTTCCACCCCTAAGCTCTCTTCTTTCCCCTTTTCTTGTTTTTCTCCCTGAAATCAATAAATGTATGTGCATATCTAGCAGCCACCACTTGCAGACAGCCAGACCGTGATGCTCTTGAGAACAAGGTGCTAATTTTTAACTATAGAAATAAAGTTGAGTGCTGGAAGAGCTGGTTTGTCACAGAAGGGAGTGTGCAGAGGGATGAGCATGGAGGTTTAAGTCAGAAGGTCTTATTATCGCTAGACCTCAGGGCACTGGCTAATCAGTAGGGGTGTAGCTTTATTAAGAAAACTGTATTTTGTGATATTTATGTCTGTATCTGAAACATTCAGTTTCAGTAAGACACCAGAGACACCTCATGAGCCACTGGAGTGCTACATCATAGAAATTAATAACAATTACTAGGAGATTCTCTTCCAGGGCATACCAGGCACCAGTGTGTAGGAAGGGGTAAAATACATCACTGCTCACGTCTTTCAAGTATGCTCTTCCCAACACATAAACTAAGGTGAATACCAACATACAAGTCAGACTTCTTTCTTCTCTCAGCATACTCTTTTTCCTGTGATTCAAGTATTGGAACACATTTAATCTAGTACATATCTAGATGTTCTTTTACCTAAAAATGTAGATTTGCACATTGTGAGTTGTAACTTTCTCCTCAGAGGATAAGAAAACACTCTTAGAATAAAGAATACTGAACTGGGAAGCAGAAAACTCCAAACTCAGTTCACAACGTAAACAAAAGACCTTGCATTTACTCCACTTGTTAGACATCCTGTCTAGAATAGGATGGCAAATTGCCCAAGGCTTTGTTTATGCTGGCTAGCAAAATATGCTATAAACAAAGTAGAAGACAAACTAGTTTCTAACATGACTTGTCCAGTCTTTGAGGAATAAAATCCAGCTTTTTAAGGCTAAAAACCAAAACAAACAAACAAGCTAGTGGAAGGATTGAAATGAGCTACATGTAATATGAAAATCAAAACAAAACAAGAGCAGGCATCAATGACCTAGAGCCAGAATCCAAGTCATTCAAACTCAGAATAAATAGTGGAGAGAAACTAAGCAAACCCAAATTTCTGTAGCAAACATCCATATTTCAGGGTTAGTTTAAAGAGCGAAAGATCTGCTCATGAGCTCCTTCCGGAGACTAGACTAGAATCGTGCCAAGTGTATACATGTGTTAGTATATCAGTAAGCACCAGTATATATTCTTATGTTAGAACAACCTTGTATCACACACACTCGTTCTTATCAGAAGCTGGAAGACAAAAACACTCTTCATCCTGCAGTTAACAGCACTGGGTGACAATCTGTTAGCAACACAGTAAACAGTGCACTTTATCGAATATTATTTCATTTTCTTTGGGCACACTTTTCTACCTGTTTCTATCTTTCTGTGTCCTTGTAAATATTGGGGCAGCAGGGTATGAAACCAGGACTAGTAAATGTTACAGAATTGCAAATAATGACATATAAAAACTCTGTATTTTTCATGATAAACAAATTTAGTTCCAACGTGTGCAGTTTCGAAAAGTATTTTTATCTCGAATTCAGCATTTAAGGATTTAGTGACAAATATTTCATATGATACTCTTAAATGTGAAACTATTAAAAAAAGTGTGAAAAAATTAATATTGATGTTCTTAAAAAATGATGGCGTAACGCACCCTTTCAGCTCGTGTGTGTGTATGTCTGTCAGTCTGTCTGTCTTGGTTCTCTCCTCACCCTGATACAAGTGGACTCGCCAGCATGTTTCATTGCTCCCTTTCTAGCCACAGTTTCTCTGCATAAAAACTGGATAGAGACAACTCAATGGTGGGAATACAGATGTCATCCCAATCCTGGATGTAGACAGGGTGCACATACTCAGGGAGCTGAAGTGCACTCCTGAGGCACACAGTATAGCTACAGCTAATGCAGCCAAAAAAAAGGGCCTTAGGCAGTAACTGACTTTGCAGCTCTGTCTAATCTCCAGGTTTATAAGAGGATGCCCTGTGACATTGCTCCTTTTGCTGGGTAACTCTTCTTGCCTGAGTAGTTCCCTGAGACATTTCCAAACAGTAGATAGATTAATATATATATATACAATGGGCACATGCTGCTTAGTCTACTGCAATTAGATATTCTGAATTTTGATGCTATTCCTTTATTTAAAACATGCCCCCAGGAGTAAACATTTTATGGTCAGTGATCTCTAAGGAATACAATTTAATTTCTCATTTACCAGGTATATGTATTCAGAGCTCTGTAATAAAACACAGCTCATAAAGTAATATTATGCTTTGGAATATAAGTATGATGCATTATACACAGCATATAATTTAATCATTCTTGACTATGGCATAAATGGTTGGAGGTGAATGCCACCTAGATTAATACTAATTACACCTTGCACCTTTATGAAGTACTTATCAGCCATGCACACAAGCAATTTGTTCTAAGCCACACAATGAGTCAGTGGCAAACAAAGGAGAGGAAACAAGGTTCTTTTATCTCCCATACTTCTTCTGAGCCAGCTTTTTGCCAACAAGAATTAAAAGCCATTTCATACTTCACAGCGACGAAGCTACTTTTTGTCAGTGTTTCACCAGAATTGCAACCTCAGTCTCACAACGTATGAGAAAGCTTTGTACAAGTAAATACAAAGATATATATGTATGTGTGGGTTTTAAATATGGCAAAACATAAACTAAATGGATGAAAGCCTTACAACTCCTAAAATAGGGGGTTTTTACTATCTGTACACATTACCAAGGAAAAGAATACTACTTTTAAAAGCCCACACTTATTGTGTAAACCTCAGCATTTTGTGTAGCCTTTAGGTTCACTGCAGTTGTCTGTACTACATTTATATAATTCTTTAAATAACCACTGGGTGTCACAGTTACCAACAGAAAACACTTGGGGGACTTCTCCAGGTTCATTTCAAAATAGACATGTATAATCAGAGATAATACCAATTCCTATACCCATAATATTAATAGTCACTCCCATTCCAAGACCAGGAAATGGTTTCCTTAATAAAAATAAAATTCAGTCAGAGTTAATACAAACTGTTCTTTTAGAAACTAGTAAAATTGAGATCTGTCTTTGAAATTTAGCCTACAGGTAAGATTCTGTCATACTGCACATTTGTGAAGTATGTTCACTGCTAGAGTGGAATGAGGCAATTCTAGACTCCAGGGACTTGAGGAATAATTTCCATAGGCTTTCTCTTTCAAAAATTAAGTGACATGAGAAACAATTATTTCCTCTCCCCTTTGTAAAATACCCATTCACTCAAAGAAAGTCTAAACATTTCGGCAGTATAAACAGCACTATAACCTTATGCTTCAGGTCCCAGCTCTCAGAATTACACAACTAGCAGAAGTACATGAGTTTTCATAGTTTTAAATTTAAAAGTAAGTTTGTGGTCTTCATCACAGAAAAGAAAATGTGACTCCAGTATAATCAGTGACTATTCAGGTTTGCAGACAACAGCTTTAAATCGTGTGAAATGCTTTGTGTCTTTGTTCAGATGTCAGCTCCAAAGGCACAAACCAGCTCCAAAGGTCGCCCCACAAACGACCTCATGAGATGAGGAGTGTATCTGGTTGGCTGGTTTCACCCACCCACATGTATGCCTTACACCTGGAATACCGGAGAGCTGCTGCATGCATCCAAAGCATAGGTAGCACCAAGTAAACTACCTGCAATTATACAGACTACCATATACGTAATCTATATAACCATAAAGCTCCAGTTTTTAGATGCCAAACAGTCTGAACAAATACCATGAGGCTGGCATGGCTGTGGACATTTGGGAGAGGACACAGTAGATAGTCAAAGGGTGCCATGAAAGCAGGTTGGTGTTCCTAAGAGCCTTGGAATGTCTGCAGGATGCTTGGGAAGCCTCTGTAGTATGCATGCTAAGGGATACTGGTCTGGAGCAGAGTAGCCAGGGACTCATGTTTGGGATAATTCTGGACAACAGAGTTTTGGGAACCTTTGCCAGGACCTGTAAGACGTGAAGAGGGAAGGAAGAAGGTATTTCCTGGATATTTCCTATATCTGGAGTTTGACATTTGAGGACTGAATTAAGTACGTGGGTCAGTTACCAGCTGCCACATTTCTCAGTCCCTACTGTTTCTTACCCATCTCTAACTTCTGAAATGGAGAGAACTAAAATGGAAACAGAGAACCAACTTAATCCCTGAAAATCAGGCTTGACAGAAGCACCTACAGTTCCTGGCCACAGTTCAGGTGACGGGTGAGAGATACAGGCTGAGACACGGGCAGGTAAGACAGAAATGCCAAACAGGCACTGTCATAAGAGATGTGTAACACATGGCAGGCACCAGCCTCTCTCTCATGCACTATGTTTAGGGCCTCAGATTGCCTTAAGCAAATCACCCTGCCCTGCCCAGCATTTTCCAACTCCTCCATTTCAGCCACTTGCTGCCTGATCAGCTAAAATGACTGTCTCAGGCAGAAATGTAATTTTTTCTCATTTTTTCCTTTAACCTATTTTCATCCAAGTCCAGCTGTACACAAAAAGGCACACACAGGAGAATGCAAGCATTATCTAATACATAAAAGATGGATTCAGAGAAGAAGAGAATTAAGCTGTTCTTCATGCCCAGCATGGCATGATAAGAAGTAATGGGTGTAAACTGCAGGTGGGAGTTTTAGATTAGATATCAGAAATGGCTTTTTTTACAGTAGGCATAATAAGGACTTGGATAGATTGCTGGAGGAGGCTGCAAAGGATTTCAAAAACAGGTTAGACAAACATTTATCTGGAATCACATTGGTATACATGTTTGCAGACTGGAGCAAGGAATGGATTGCTCAAAGTCCCTTCCAGTCCTGTTTCCCTGTGATTTTATGATTCAAGGACATCAAATGGCCTATTTTTTGCTAGGGATTGGTCTTAAACAAACCTCACAGTCTCAAAAAAATGCCAGCAAAATAATAGGAAGGGTTGTTTTTAAATAAACATTATTCTAATTCTCTCTTTTCTTACTCAAAAAACCCTCCCACTCTGCAACACATTCAACTACAAAGCTGAATACAGTTGGTAAAGTACTGAAAGCATTAGCAGCATTGATAACACTGTAGCAATAATACAGCAAGTGATCTGAAATCTTTGTTTCTTTTGACCAAGTTCTTGCCCCTTATACCTTTCTCTCTTTCTCCCCACCCCAACACAATATCCAATTTTCTAAATTACTTGAGCTTTTATGCACACTTTCATTAACATAGCAGGTGCAGTTATTTAGACCATTAAAGTCCTAGCAGTAGTGTAAGTTGGGAGTGACCCCACTGCAAATTAACAGTTCAGACACAAGAGGTGAATGGTGCTTTAAAATGCAGCTGGAAATCTTCCACTGTACCCAAACAGGACTTGGTCCAAGGTCCTTGTCTGAAAGCTGCTCCCTTAACACAAGTCACTTGAGTTGGAGGAGAAAAGCGTTACAGATTAATTCTGGTTTGTGGAGAAAAGAGGCTCTTTTCTTCCAGCTGAAGTTAAAAGCTGCCAACAAACATCAGCAAACCTATTTGGAAATTTTGAACTGACTCCTCATGTGATCTGACCGTGGATTTTTTCCTCCACTTGCTATTGTATTATTT